CCCCAAAACCCCAAAACCCCAAAACCCCTATGCTAAGTTGTTTTGAAGAAATAGAATATTCGCATTAGAAATTAAGAAGCTTATTTATTGATCAAGAGCGAGCGGGCAAATCACTTGACTTTATATTTTTCGAAGTAAGGTGTATATATCTGCTCGAAATGAGAATTATTCCTTCTCATTAATAGTAAATAAATGCCACCTGCTAAACCCAATACACTTGTATAATATTTGAAATTAGTGGAGTGCTTTACAACGGGGATTGATCCGAAAGCAAACATACTGGCAAAAGCAAAACATACTGTTTAATAGTTTCTGAGCTTGTATCTCTCAAACTAGAAATTTAAATATTTTTAGTCAGATTCCGTCAATCTCGAGCAATTCATTAGCCTCTTTAGCTTCTCTTCCCAAGGATTCACACGATCATACTTTGTCGCCATTGTGGTTTATATAATTTAATAATTAATTTTAATCCAACCATTCCACATTATTTTATTAAGAGAGATTAAAGCTAAATTAAATGCCGAAACAATCAAAAGTCCTTGTTCTAATTAAATTTATTCTTGTAATTTTTTTTATTTCTTATTAGAATTATTAAGCTGATTATAAACAATGAGTTCTGCTATTGAAGTAAGTTTTAGCAGGACATAACTTTTATATTATATTTATAATTCTGCCTATTTCAGATATCATAATTCTTCTTTAGGAATTTGAGAAAAGAATATCTCATTTGGAGTAGGAGTTCAATAAGAGTCGGAAGGAGGGCATTAATAAAATAGCTGAATTTGCAGCAGCTAAGTTCGGCTAGAATATTGAAATATATTTCCCAAAGTTTGCTATGCTATATGATGATTTTCATGGATTCAAACAGAGTTCAACTCAAGAATACGAATTACTTCGTAGAGGAGTCAGATAGGAGTCATCAGGTACCACTGCTAAGATTGAGCAGATTAAACTGGATATAGACAAGTTCAAATAGTCTGTTCTGTTTTAATAAAAAAGCATTACTGATTCTCCTATTTTTGTAGATTTGCAAGATTAAGTTAGAAACTAAATTAACGAACTTGAGTAAGTTAAAATGCGCATCAAGAATATGCCTACTGCTGAGAAGATGGAGACAGTTGATATGAGATTCAGAGAGTACATCAGCTATGAATAGTTTAAGGATTTTTAAAATGATTTGCCGAGAAAATTTTGCACCCAAGATTAAGCCAAAGAATTAAAGGATGCAAACACCAGATGTGATATGAAGTTCAAGCTATTTGTATCTCAAGAAGATCTTAGAAAAGCCTTGATACAAGTGGACACTAATATTGAAAAGAAGTTAGCCTAAAGAGTTTCTTAAGAAGAGCTGAGTGATGGACTGCAAGCATTAGACGAAACAATCACTGAGAAGATAAATTCATTTTAGTCCACTCTGAACACAAATAAAAACATATTTGCATAGTTCAATAGAGACTTTACTCACATCCAAGATGATTTGAAGTACCTAGATGAGTAAGTTCAAAAGCGAATGGAAATTGAAGATGGCGATCGCCTATGGAATAACTTCAGGAAATTCTGCAAGTTTGATGACCTAAAAGATCTATATAATAAAACAGTCCCAGAAATTCAAAAGTTTGAACAGAAAATCATTGATTTTACTCAGGAGATGGAGAAAAGCAGAATTATGATAAGGAGATTCGATGAAGTAATAAGTGAAAAAGCTAGTAAGCTCAACATAAAAGAGGTCTATTAACATATTCAAGCGACTACCACTCCACTAACTGAATTCCAAATCATTAGTAAGCAATATCAAGAAAAGCTGGATAAAGATCAAGGAAGGATAAAAAATATTGAGGAAATGATAGATATTCTTGGCAAGCAGATATCAAAAGACATATATCAAGCGGTAAGGAGAGCAACTCATCATTTGACTAAGTAGACTGATGGGTAAACTAATATAACTGATAATTCATCTTCATTCGAAGAAATTAAATAGCAGATGAATATAAAGGTAGACAGGCAGGAACTCTAAGATATAGCGAACTAAAAGTCAAATAAAAAAGATACGGAATTGTCGCTTAGATGGATTGATATTATTCATAAGCAACTTAAGTAAATTGCTATACTAATAACCGAAATACTAAAATAAGATTTGGCGCCTTCAAATACATAGACAAATCTTGAGCATTCCAAATAGAACACTAAGGCCTTTTTATTTCAGCAAGCACTCTTGATTTCTCAGTGGATGAGCAAGTTTGACTCAGAGAATATCAATGAGTACTATGATTCCCAGTAAATGCCTTCTGAGGTGGAGGCCTTTGAGAAGTATGTCTAAGAAAGTTTACAAAACGTAGATGGACTTCTTCTGAGTCCGAACAATTTCAACCTAAATCACAACATCAAACTGAAATCAAAAAGTGTGGTATCGAATAAAAATGCTCCCACAAATATTATGATTGTGAATAATAGGATCAACTATGGATCAGAGAGAAGGGCTAAGAGCAAAAATCTTATGAGTAAGATGAATATGACTTTGAACATCCATGGAGGAATGAACTCAGGAACTGGTATTGTATAAGAATTTGATCCTCTAATAAAAACAAACAGCTCTTTTTCTAACAAGAAGGACTCAAGGTATTACTTAGTAAAGTCTTCATTGCAGGAGACGGCTTCTGAATCTTTGCAAAAAAGTAAGATCAAGTTTCATAGAGATAAGCTTAGATTAGACTATGGCTCGTTAACAGCTGTAAACTCACCAAGAAACAATAAGGAAAGTCTTAGTCAACTAATCAATGAAAAGTTTGGAACAAAAAATGATTACCAGCATCCTTTAAAGCTTATTACATTGCATGAAACCCATAGAAAGTAGAGTATGGGAGATGAATTTATACATTCAGATTAAAATTCATTTGAGTAATCGACTACTTTGCGTCTAACTCCCATAAATCTACCTGGAATCAGATGATTATATTACAAATTTTGTATGTTTAAAACTTTTTATTTTAATGGATTAAAATACTAGTCTTTAGGGGTTTTGGGGTTTTGGGGTTTTGGGG